GGAAAATGTTGAGAAGCCCAAATTGCCCAAACTAGTTTGGGCTTTGAGAAAACAGTTTGGACCAGAAACCTTATACCTTACCAATTTCTCAGCTACAAGCAAGTATCTATTTAATCATTATAGCCAACTTAATCACGTCAAATTCAACTAAACAATATAATAATTTCATAATAATATTATCTTGATTTTATAGAATTGAAAAAGTACAAGAAAAAATTGAAAGAGCATAAAATAGAGAATGAAGAATCAGTAGCACAATATTATTCATTTGTTAAACTCAAAGAGGAAATGACTGGCGAGTTTAATGTATACATCACAAGTCCAAAACACTGTATGAGATTTTTAACTCCAGGTAGATTGGTATGGGTGAAATATGATGATATGGATTTTGGTTGGAATATGGTCATTAAATGTGAAGAGATAATAAGGAGGGCAGTTACACATTATAATTTAATAAATTCTGGAAAAGCAATTCATAAAGTAAAAGTGTTGTTGCACTGCTCTAATGATTCATTTGTGAATAGTGAAAGAGTTGATGTCAAGCCATGCCCAGTAAGCTTAAATGATGGTGTTATGCTGGTAATATAAAACTGAATCTTCATTACTTTAATTATTAATAATTTAATTTTGCAAAGTTGTTATTATTGAAGAAACATATTTATTTAATTAATTTTTGAATTTTTTTTCAAAAAAATTTAAAGGTTGTTCCAATAAAACTTAAAGATATACAAACAATCAGTCAAATACGCCTTCATGCGGGTGAAAATATCGAGCATGAACGTCATCTAATGCATTTAGCTTATGAAACTATTAATGATATTCTTTCAAAACATCCGACTGGTGTGCCATTAGATCCAATAGTACATATGGATATCAGAAATGAAAATTTTAAATTTTTATATCATGCAAATAATAAATAAATATATTACTTTCTCTAATTCATTAGATTTTTAAAATTAATATCAATATTTGTCACCTCATTTTAGAAAATGAGATTAATTGAAGAGAACATTAATAAACATCCAATTAATCAAGATCCATTAATAATAGAAAAATATACCAAAAGATTGAATTTAGTAGAACAGAGTAAACATTAAAAAGCAGAATTCGCAAAGTAGAATCAGTTCTTCAATTTGATGAATTTAAAAAAAGAAGACGTTTATTACGGAGAATGGGTTACTTGTCAGAAAATAATATGGTTGAGCTCAAGGGTAGAATAGCATGTGGAATTAAATCAGGTGATGAAATAGTTTTAACCGAGTTATTGTTGAATGATGTTTTCAATAGTTTGTCAGCTGAAATGACTGCTGCGCTATTTAGTTGTTTATAATTGATGAAATATCGGATGGAAAAAATGTTATAATTCAAGAATTCATAGAGCCATATAATCAAATTTTAGAGACAGCTAGAATTGTAGCTGAGATTACTGAAGAGTGTGCTATTGCTATTGATAAAGAAAAATATATGGCAAAATTTTCACCTGGGTTGGTGGAAAGTGTGTATGCTTGGTGTAATGTAAGTAAATTTGGATTTTTTTTATAATTTCTCTCTTTATATATTTTCACTTTTATTTACATTTTTGCCAAATTATAATTATTACTTTATTCAAATTAATTTTAGCATGTAACGTTTCCAGAAACGTGTAAAAAAGGAAAAATGCAAGGAGATATTGCTAGAAATTTTGAAAACTTGGATGAATTATTACAAGAAATGGTTTCAGCAGCCAAGTGTATAGGAAACATCGAATTGGAAAACAAATTTTCCTTGTCAATTGAAAAAATCAAAAAGGGAATAATGTTTGCAGCATCATTATACCATTAAATTAATAATTAACACATGAATATTTGATTGATTGCTTTATAAAATATATATTTAATTAGCTAATTAATAAAATCAATTAACCAGAATGAAAAGTAAACAGTCCTTTTTTTTTCTTTGCTATGACCCTCGCAACAACAATCATCCAAAAATAAAAAAAGAAAGTGTTTGAACACCATAACAAATGTTTTATGTGATTTAGAATAAATTGATTTTCATTTAACACCACAATTAACTCTTAAATTTTATTTATAATCAATCCTATTTTACTATCCGATCATTGTCACCAACATTTACTCCCGGATTATTATAATTGAGGTAACATCCAGGCTATTAGTAAGTTTTGGAAAAATTTTACCCTTTTAAGCATGTAACTTCATATATAACCATCGAAAAAATTATCCAATATATTTTATCTAAAGAACTATATTAATATAACTGTTGATGTTCTTCACTAATTCTTAATAAACCCATATCTAAATCTATAACGATAGTGATAATGATAACAATAAATTATATAAATCAAATATTCAGAATGACCAATTAATTATGATCAATGACAACAATAATCATACTTCTATATCCAATTCCAAGAGCTCTAAAATAATTACTCATAAAATAATTCTCCCATCTGGTGAAAAAGTCAATAAGACTTATCTGTTAAATGATAATTAAATTATTAAATGTAAAGTTATAAATTAACATGATATCACTTGCAATCTCTAATTCACAACTTAGTTTCCACATGAATATTTAAAATTTTATTTATATCAATAGATTAATGTTCTAAAAGTTATTTATTTTGCCTTATTAATTAATATATACTTTCATAATCTTCAACACTAATTCTAAGATTTAAATAATTTTATAATTGTTTCATAATTGTATATAACAAATTAAATTTTAAGAATCTTTCAATATGACCAATAAATCATTTCGATTTTTTTAGTGTAACAAGGTTTACAAAAGTACAAGTCAGAGATGATCCGGTTATTTGTTGATCTATTTTGCTATTTCATTGTTATATGAATGAGGCTTATATTAATTATATTAAATATCAAATATGAGAAGAATTGAATTGTGTTGTTCATTCTTTTGTTCATTAAAAACCAAATTTTCATTTTTTGGGATTATTTATTATTCATAAGAATTTTAAATCTACGTACGTACATCCAACATCTACTTCCAATCGTCAAATTTACATTTCATATCACACATCTCAAACAACACACAAAATGCCATCAGGAAATACTTCAACGGATTCCACCAAAGCATTCATAAATCTCACGAATCGTAATTCAAGTAGTAGTATAAATGAAGAATCTGAAATTATAAATGATTCGTCAGATCATGATATTACTCGCGGCTTGATTTATAATTTTGGAGAGATTAGTGATGAGTTAATTAAAGCTGAAATAGATACTGGAGATGTACAAAATAAATTTTCATGGTCAAAGTTATGGAAATATACCGGTCCTGGTAAATATATATATCTGTGAGAGTGTGAAGATTTTTTTATTGAAAATATTTAATGGATTAGAAAAATAATTATAAATATTTAAAAATATAATATTATAAATATTTAATTACATGATTTAGGATTTTTAATGTCTATAGCATATCTTGATCCTGGGAATTTAGAAGCCGATCTTCAAACAGGTGCAGTTGCAGGTTATTCCTTGGTAAGTATTAATAATAATAATAATTATTTTTTTTTCTAATGAAAGTTCCAATTACTCAAATTTAATTTAATCAAATAATTATAAATATCCATTTACACAGCTCTGGCTTTTACTGTATGCTCATATAGCTGGTTTGCTGATACAATGTTTATCAGCCAGAGTTGGTGTAGTAACAGGGATGCATTTAGCTCAATTAATAAAAAAATATTATTCACGTCCTATCTCAACAATACTTTGGATAATAACTGAGATAGCTATTATTGGCTCCGACATACAAGAGATAGTTGGTACTGCAATAGCATTAAAAATTATTTTTGGATTACCTTTATGGGTTGGTACATTGTTGACTGCAATGGACACTTTCACTTTCATGTTATTACAAAATTATGGTGTCAGGAAATTAGAAGCCTTCTTCATGCTCTTAATTGGCTTGATGGCTGCTTGTTTTTGGATAGAAATGTTCAAGAGCGATCCTGATGTTGGTGGAATAATAACTGGAATGTTATTGCCTTCTGTTCCTTCTACTGCTGTTATACAAGCTGTTGCAATGATTGGCGCTGGTAATTATTATTTGTTTTTAGAAGGGAAAACCTATTCTATTTTTCCAAATATTATTTATCCTGCCCATCTATTCAATAAAACACATAGATGGCACACTTCAAATTTGCATGAATCTTACATGATCATTTCATTTGGTAACGACTTATATATATTATTTTTTTCAAATCCATCCGTAAACGTATTATTTATTTATTATATTATAATAATAGGTTGGATGGATACTGATAAAGGAGGTGGCGATCCTTACCGAAATATTTCATTATTAGACATCAGCGACAAAAATAATTATAAATGGGCAGACACGTTTGAGATTCCAACAACAACTGAACAGGCTCCAACCCCAGTCGTCACCACTACCACTAATGCAGAAAGTGGAGAATCTTCAAATGAAAGCAAAAGGCTAACAATGGTTCTGGGATTAGTTATATCCGGTGTAATCCTTGTCATTTCTATTTCTATTCTTGTTTTATATAATTATAAAAGAAAAAATAGATCTAAAAATAAAAATTTGATCGATGAGGGCAATAATAAAGATGACGAGATCGATAAAAGCGTTATTAAAGATAATGGAATCGATAACAGTACTATTAAAAACAATGAGATTACTGTTTAATAATAAAGATATAACTAAATAAATGCGATCTTATAATTATATAAATAAAATCTTCCTGTATTCTCGCAGTATAATCTATACTTATTTTTCTTAGAAAGTTTGATATAATTTTATTTATTTCTTGCAGGTTCACACATAATAATACCATCTATGAATTCAGGAAAATTATTCTTTTATTCTTTTCCATCGAAAGAAATGATCAGGACTTATTTCATCTTTATTTTTTACAACTGCCAAGAATATTTAGAATCATACCATTCTTCATTTTTTGTTAAATGAAGTTTTCTTGATATAAAGTCAAGTCTGGTCCATAATAATAATCAATATGATGAGTTGCCACAATTTTAATTAATTGAACTGATTTTTGTAAAAAATCAATGATATTATGTTTGTTTTATGGCAAAATAACAATTTTGTGTTGTTTCAAAAAAATCATAATGTGTTCGGAAATGGCTTTGTCATTTGACCATTTATTAGATTTGGTATGATAATTTGGCATCTGTCATTTCACAAATGATCTAAATGCCAAATTCCAAATGATCAATGTTATTGGGCAGTCATTGGTCATTACAATTGTTTCAATTATATATCCTTAGTAAGCTATTACAAAAAGTTGTGTATATATGTGCCTTAAAAAACATTACTAAGGTGATTATCGGAGAAATTTATAATTTTAGAGAAAAAATGACGAGTAACCTTCATATTTCTATTGATAATAATAGTATAGCAATTAATACTAATGATGTAAACAACTCATTTAAGTGCTCACAATTTTTTTTTTTAATCCCAAGAATAAACCTTGGGAGAGAGAATTATAAAATAATCAAATTGCAGGGTGTGTTGGTTTTGATTGCCGTTTTTTTGTCAAAGTTGAATTAGTCTTTAAATTTACAAGTTTACAAACGAATATTGGAAAAGCATGCATTTATTTCTTCCAAAATTATAACATTTAAATAATTTATTTCATCACTGAGAACTTTTTAACTTTCCAAATGACCAATATCAATATTTTTATTTTCAAAATTATTGTCATTATCATTTAATGGTAATAAAGCAAGATATATCACAAAAACAAAATAAATAACACCAAGAATATAACCAACATACAAATTGGGTAGTTCTTCTAGATAAGCCAAGAAAAGGAAAAGATTGAAACAAACAATAATTGAAGCCAGTAACCAAGAAACAATTCTCCAAAAGTAATTAGCTTGAAAACTTTTACCCATTATATTTTTAGAACTTATAATCTTTAAAATTGGAATCAGAGCAGTTGGCAAGCATAAACTTTGAAGTACATTTAAAAATTCACCCATTGTATCAAAATTTTCAACCTAATGAAAAAAAAAAAAATATGTGAATTTATTTTATTTCCCTTAAAATAATAAAAATATAAAAAAAAATTTAATCCTACTTACAGCAAGAACAGCAACCATCATTGATGGTACTAAAGCAATTCCACGAGTTATGGCAACACGTTGCCAAGGATTTGTAAAAATTTTACCAAAAAATCCCTCCATCACATATTGACCAGCCAAAGTACCAGTCATGGTAGAACTTTGGCCAGCAGCCAATAAACCAAATGCCCAAAGATATCTTGCACCTTTACCCAAAGTTTTAGTCAAAGCATCAGCAGCATCATATAAACCTGGTAGATGAGGCGAGTTACCATCTGGTTTGTAGAAAATTGTACCAAAAACAACAACAATGGCCATATTTATCAAATATGAACAAAGCAAAGCAATGCCACTTTCTATTGCAAAATAAAAATTTGCTTCTTTAAGTTTTGCTTTAGAGCTTGGATCTGTCTTACGAGTCATCACTATTTTTTAATAATAATAATAATAATAAATAAATAAATAACATTCACAATAATTGTCTTATTTATTTATTTTTCCTGACAGATTGATGGTAAAATAAATCCCAAAATTCAATCAACAATGTTTAAAGATTTACCAATATTTAATGCAGCCTTTAATCCAAGTGGTGAAGATATTGTAGTAACAGGTAGAAAAAAACACTATTATATTTATAATATTGAAAGTGATGTGATTGAAAGACCTAGAGATATTCATGGATTTAAAGATAAATCACTTGAGAATTTTTCAATATCACCATGTGGAAAATATATTGCATTTGCCGGAAAGAATGGATACATAGCATTGATAAGTTATAAGACAAAACAATGGATTACCAGTTTGAAAGTGAATGGTTTAGTAAAGTCAATTGATTGGTCTAGTAATGGTCAATATTTATTTTCTCTTAGCAGTGATGCTGAAATTTATCAATGGGATGTTGGTATGAGAAAATGTATTTATCGTTTTTTGGATTATGGAGGTTTTAAACCTACAAGAATATCCATATCAAAAAATGATTGTTATTATTCTATTGGGTAAAAAATTTTATTTTTTATGTTGGAATTAAATATATATATAAATAATATATATATATACATACAATCCATATCATTATTAACAAAAAAAAAAAAAATTTTTTTTTATTAAAACATCACACAGATCAAATACTGGTGTTGTAAACATTTATGACAAATCATGTTTAACCATTAAAGAACCAAAACCTTTGAAATCTTTTATGAATTTGACAACTTGTATCCACGATATGAAATTTAATCATGATACACAAATATTAGGGATTTCTAGTCATTCAAAGAAAGATCAATTAAAAATGGTAATATTTATTTTGATTATGATTATATTTATTTATATAACTTTAATATATATTTATTTTATATATGCATTAGTTTCATTTACCATCTCTTAATGCATTTCCGAATTGGCCAACTTTTTCAACTCCATTAAGTTATGTTCAATGTTTTGATTTTTCACCTGCTAGTGGTTATTTAGCTGTCGGCAATGATAAAGGCAAAGTTCTTCTATATAGATTAAAAGATTATCCAATTGCTTAAATTATTTATTATTATTTTGTCTTTGGTTTAATAAATATTATAAAAATTAATTAACCAACTAAATAGTTTATTGTTTTTTTTTTTGATATCCAATACTGGTTTTACCAAATTGGCCTTTGGCCACCAAAAGTCAAATCTCTACTACCCATAAGATGCAATGCCTAATTAAAATTTTTATGTCAAGAATTGTCTTGCAAATAAAATCAGTCATATATGCATCAAACTGACCAGGTTTTGTTGAAAGTAATAAAGTTGGGGGGTATAGATAAATACAAATACATATTCTCTTGTAATTATTGATGATGAGCTATCAGGTTCTTCATCCAAAATAAATATAAATCATGTACCGATTTCAACTAATTTCTTTTATGCTAAAAATTCATTATGACGAGTTTATTAATTTTGAAATTTACTTGCATCCGTTTGACTGTAACAATATAATAGCTTAAACTCTTCTAATTCGAAAAAAACGTCTTCTTGCTCATCAAAGCCTAATGACAACAACGTTGACAATAATAAAACAAAAAAAAACACAGATTATACCTCATATAATTACTATTCTAGATACAACGTTTTTGGATGATGTTTTATCTGTTGAAACAGATTTTACTAGGAAATTAAATCTACTTAAAGCTAGCCTTAAGAAAAAGAATAATAGCAATAAACCTGAATCTACTACATAACATTAATTCAGATAAATTATTGAGAGAAGAAACTATTATTGCCAACGTTCAAAAAGAGAAATCAGTTCCATCAAGATCTGGCATCAATCATTCCATAAATAATGGTATCAATTAATATTCGACATACACAAACAATTAACGCCAGTCAATATATACTAATCAACACTTCAACGCACTCTAAATATCGAAAAGATCCAATGGGAGTCTCTCCTAGCCGGTAAATAATTTTGCCATTTGTTAATAACCTATTAAAAATTTATTATTAAAAAATTAATAAAATATTTACCTGCACATGAAGATAAAGAAAATATGATTATGAGTCGCACCGTTAGAAACATGCTAATATAATATTATCATCAATAATTAATGCATATCCCTTTTAATCCTTAAACTACTCAAAAAAAAAAAAAGGAATTAAAAGATTATGTATCATTTCCAAAATAATATGAAATATTTTTAAATAGTTTTACCTATCAATGTCCACTGTGCAACAAGTAAAATAACATTAAATGTTAGATGACATTTAGTAATTGCTATTACTATACTTTTATTATTTAATATATATACAAGAAATAAAGAAAAAATGAATTAATTTTTTAAATGACTTTTTTTATTGGCTGCCTCATATTACATTCTCATCTATTATATTATATACAGGTTAGTGATACCAATTAGCAGAATTATAATTTTTGTCAGAAACTGACAGATTAAATTTTTTTCAATCTTTTGTTTATCTTGGAGATTCTTGCAATCAATGCTAAAAGTTGGATTTCTGTTGCTACACCTTCTAAAATTTTCCTATGTGCCGTTCCAACTTCCTATAAATCATTAATTAATTAATTCAATAATATTATATTAGTGAATTAAATTTGTGAGAAGAAAAGTAAGGAGAGGAGAATATACAACAAATAATTACAAATATAATTTCCAATCTCATTGCTTCGTTTATTTCATTTTTTGTCTTTAATGCCCTGAACAGAGTAGTGGCAATGCCCTCAGCACTATGTCCCTTATGTAAAAGGTTTGTCATTTTATCCATAGCCTCTGATACATTTCCATTTAAACAATCATCAAGAATTTCACCTAATAAGTGTGGGTGTGGCACATCACAATTCACATAGACGTTCTCTTCAGTAACTATTCCAAATCCATTGAAAATTGACTGTAAATTATTGATAGCTTGTCGCATGTCACCTTCTGATGTAAATACGATTGCATCAATACCTTTAGGAACATATTTTACCTAAATTTTAATACAGTGCAAGATAATCAGAAAAATATAGTAAATTATGATAAATTTAATAATTATTATTATTATAGTAAATATATTTACATCTTGATGTTTACAAATTTCTAATAATCTTTTTTCGATCATATCATCTGTTAATTTTTTAAATTTAAATATAGTACATCTGCTTTGAATTGGTTCAATAATTTTGTTTGATATGTTACATGCAAGTGCAAATCTAGTTGTCTTTGAAAATAATTCTATAATACGACGAAGAGATTGTTGTGCACCAATTGTCATACTAAAAAAGAATAAAGTGATTAATATTTATTTAAAAATTTATATTAAGGTTAATAATGATAATTATTATTATTATTATTACCAGTCAGCTTCATCCAATATAATAATTTTATGTTTACCAACTGGTAAATTAATTTTTCTTTGAGCAAATGTTTTGATTGTATTTCTAACAACATCAATACCTCTAAATAATAACAAATGCAATAAAGGATAAGAAAATAATAATAAAATTTGTATAATAATAATCAAATCTATTTTTCTACCTATCATCGGATGCATTTAGTTCCAACACAGCATCATTATTATAATGATCTCCTAATAATGCACGCGCAAGACATAAAATACTAGTAGTTTTACCAACACCTGGTGCTCCAGATAAAAGCATATGTGGCATATTACCATCATTTGCAATCACCTTCAGCCTCTCAACAATATCTTCATTTCCAACTATATCATCTAAAACTACTGGTCGATATTTTTCAAGCCTTTTTATATGAATTTATATATTAAAGTAATTATTAGACTTTAAAAACACGCGTTTTAATTTTTTAAGAAAAACCACATGTAAGTGTATGTGCATGATAGGTACCAAGGAAGTCCTGAACTCATATCTTCTTTTTTGTTAATATGTAATTTATTTATAAATCTTGGAATAATATCAAAAATATTTGAGCAACCAATGTAGATCAACTTTGTAATTATCATTTATTGTAAATCGTTTAAATTAAATAAAAAAAGTAATACATAATTATAAGATGGAACTAATACTAGGAATTATTTATGACAACTAAACTATTTCCATTTTTACATCTTGGATGATTTCATCACGAGCAACAGAGTTAGCAATTTCTCGTCGAATTTCAGGTGTGATTTGTTCATGCAATTTAGATTTAAGTACATCAAACAGTGCTTCTTTCTGCTCTGGTGTCAAATCTTGTTTATATCTTTTAAAAATAACATAATTAGCAATTAATAATTAATAATATAACAACAATAAAATAATAATAACTCTCAAAAAAATTAAAATTACCTTTGTGCAAATACTAAAAAAGATTGATGCCATAATACAGGCATTTTCCTTTCATCGTTTTTAAATCTAACAAAATGAAATACCAAAGCATCTACAACTTTGTATGGTAATGCATATTTTTTATCAAGCAAAATGCGAATAAATAAACTGCTGGGACCAGTATAATCCATTTCTGCCAATCGTAATAGTGCAGCTGAAGAATGAAGCATCGGGATACTAACTTTAGATATTACACTACCAACAATTGCTGCTTCCTTTAATGTGCATGTGCCAGACTATAATAAATGTATATGTAGTATATGTGCGTGCGTTGTTTATATGCATTTGTAATATTAATTATAATAGCAATAATCATAATGATAAATTTATAATTACCTCACACAATGGAAACAAAATTCCTTTGAAAAATGCAGCTGGCTTATATAAAGCTTTTTTTAATGCCATATATAAATGAGGATTAAGTTTTTTGTTTTCTTTTATATCATCACGAACTTTATCCAAAAGTACAATATCAAAAAATCTAATTACCAAATAATATATATATATATATATATATATATATATATAGGTTATATATTTAAGCCTATATATGTTATGCAAAAGTTCATAAAATAAATAAATACCTTTGAGATTGTTTATCACTCAGATTAGAAACAAAAATACGAGTTGCCTGCAATGTTGCATGTGGAGTCCAATTTTCAGGTTTTGTGAGATATAATATATCCTCCCAATCTGGTAGTGATGGAATAATTTTGAAGGCTTTTGGAATCTTACCAGATTTATACCCACTTAACAAAGTACCAACTCTGAACAAATTAATATAAAAAATTTATTATATTTATTTCCTTCGATGCATATTCGCATCTGCCTAAGAGGCATACTATCTAATTAATAGGTTTATAAATATATAAACGTAAATAATATACTTACTTTGAGTAAACTTCAACAACTTTTGGATTCACAGTTGATGATGATTCCTTATCTGAAATGATAAAACATTTAAATATATTTTGAATTCGTTATATTTTTTTTAATGCTATTTGGAAAATTTTTTAATAACCTAAAGACATTTGCTTTTTCGAATTTTGCTGTGATTCAATTTTTTCCATTATAATATCTGACAAAGTTTTACTTTCTTTTGGCGTTTTAGATGTAAATTTATCAAAAATTTCTTGATCATTTTCATCTATTTTCTGATCACGCACATACAAATATAAATTAATTAAAAAATGATAATAATGATAACAGCAATAATAATAGTAATATAAAAAAACTTCATACTAATTCTATAATATCTTTATCGATATCATCATCGTCATCTTTTTCTTCTTCTGAATAATCATCTTCGCTATCGTCATCAACAAAAGATGAAAATAATCTATTTACATGACTAATGTATGATTAAGAAGAAATAAATATTGATTTTATTTGAATTCAAATAAATACAATCAATCAACAATTATTACTTTTGTTTCTCAATTGTTTTGTCCTCCTCCTGCTTCTGTCCTTGTTCTTTTTCTAATTCTTCTTGCTGTTCTTTTGCAATTTTGAGAATTTTTTGTGAAAGCTTAGAATCAACAAATTCCTGTTTATAATTAAGTGCGAGCCATTGTTAAAAAACAGTTGATTTGAAATTAATTCTGATTATAATTGTTTTTACACATACATCATCCTTTTCTTTTTCTTGGTTTCTGATCGCATATTTTGTTCTTGCTTTTCTATTTGGCACTATA